TGTGTCAAATTGCGAAACTCACGGAGGAGTTCCTCTGCCGATCTCGCATCATATGATACCTCCAGTCTCGTATCTGGGATATCCCCGTATTCCAGTAGCACTCAGGAGTCCAAGACCAGCAAGTCAGATCTTCAGTTTTCCATCCTCTGCATTGCCTAGATAGCTCAAAGAGAAGAGCCAAAGGCACTGGGGATCTTAACGAACAGATTTTGCATTATTATTGAGGCCACATGAGGAAGGCTTAGGTGTTGATAAGAGCTGAATTGGTGGATATTGAAAAGAGATCAGAATTCAAAACCGCATTTATCAAGTGATGGAGAAAACTGTTTATAATGTCCTTTAGCAAATCTTGTATATCAGAAATCCTTTTAGCAGGTAATTCCTATTTCTTAAGAAACTTCATCATTTTTGAGTATCTAATATTAAATATAAATAAATTATAAGGAGGTAAATAAAGGGTAGTTCTGAGCTAGCTCATGCTTTCTTACTTAAAAAAATATGTATAACTGGAAAAGTCAAGCTAGGTAAAAGGATATGTAAAAAAAGACATCCTCATTTCTGTTGTTGGTCAAAGAATGAGTTCATGGTGAAACTAAATACTTGTACTATGCGGCTTTGGAATTCCAGACAGATATTACATCCCTTAAGCTTGATACTTCATATTAATTCCAGACGAAGTGGTTTAACGAGATTGTTTAGCCCTGGCAGGAAACGGGTTGTAGCCAGGCATCCTTTTTACGGCGGATGACAAAGCTGCGAACGCCGCTGGAAATAAGTTTATGCTTCACAAAAGAGTTTTTAGGGTGAGATTGCCACCTCTGGTAGGCAGCTATCCCTAAGCAGTCTTTTCAAATTCATCAATAATATTTGTGTGACTGTGCATAATGGAAGCAGGGTTTTAAAGTCTGGCCTTAAGGCCAAAGTAAAGCACTTAAGGACGTACTTACCTTGAAGCATCTAAATAGTCCCACTTTGGCCAAATCTAGATAGAATCCTAGTGAACAGTAAATTTTTTAACAATTCTTACTATAGTCTCTGAATCTCTCATTTCCTTCGAGTAATTTTGTCAGAAAACAAGAAAAATGAAACGTTTTGGACTGCAGCGTTTAGATGTTAGGGAAATAACTGTCAGTTTTGAGACAACTGAATATTCATGCTATGGTATCTGCTTTTATTAGTTTCATCTGCTGATCTGCACATTTCTTTTGCTTTAATATTTTTTAACTAACTTACTGGAAAAAAACCACCCAACTACATGACTGCACAGTTTCTAGGTTTGATAACTGCCCAGTAAAATGAGGTTTTTTCCTAATGTCTGTATTTCCCCCCTTCTTCCTTTAGGGACATACTTTGATGATTATGCTGTGTGCAGCTTTTATTGAGGGACAGTATATGCATTCTGCCTTGGAAACAGTAGGCAAAACCTTCAAGGTCTGTCGCTTCATCCAAGTTTATGATTTGGGCTGACGTTTATCCTTCTACTTACCGCAACCAGCCAAGTATCAATGCTGGTGCGTTTCCTTTGTCCTGTTAACCCAAGGAATGACAAAGATCGATGAGATCCACACTTTATCAAGTATCAGGAAAATTTCGACTGCCCAAGGGTTTCATTTCCTTTCTGCTTTATATAATGTTAACTTCACAACAGTGGTTATCACAGCAGGCATCTTGCAGCTGAGGAGGCAGTCAGTCACCGGGGATACTGCCTTGCCGCTCTGTGACCAGCTGCCACACTACCGGTACACATACAACAGCAAGTTGTTTGTTGATTTTCTTTTTCGCATAGAATTATAGAAATCTCTTTTGCATTAACCCTAATTAAATGCATATGCTCAGAACAAAATAATGGTAGGTTATAATGTATTTTGGCTAACATGCACTCTCTCAGGAGACTATTTATTCTAGTTGGGCAAAGGATGCTTTGGACTGTATCCCTTTCTTTTGCATGCGTAATTACTTTTGCAGTTTTACCTTTTCTTTACCTTGCAGAAGAGAAACAATCACAAATATTTGAATAGCAAGAAGCCCTGTATTTTCTGCTGAAATTATTTTTAAATATTGTAAATCTGTAATTTTTTTAAGATGATAGATGCAGACAACTGCAACCAAGATACATTATTTATGAAGTTTCATCAAAGACTGTAGCAATTCACAGAAGAAATGATAAATATGTAGGAAACCTAAGAGTTTATACAGGCTAAATCCTGTATCTTTCAGACTATGTTTCTGACTGTTTGAGCTCCTTTACCTCCCATTTACTCCAGGTGAGATCTTACCAGTCTTGCAAAGCAAGTCCTAGGACAGGCAACAAATCTGACCCTGGAGGGTGTGAAAAAAATAGAGCACGAGGAAGTAGATGAACTTATGAATGATTCATGGAGAAAATGAGCTTGAAGGAAGTGAAGATGATGTCTAGGGAAATACGATGCAAAACATGAGAAGCCTCCTGGCTACCATGGGAAATACCAAGAAATATAAGTACAAATCTAACAGTGAAGGAAAGGAGTAAAGGGAACAGCAGGGAGAAAATAGTGGAGAAAGAGTAGAAATGTGGAAAATAAAGGCATTAAAAAAACCTACAGATGTAGTTGGAACTTTGAAGCATATGAAGAGTGGATAGGATATGCAATCCAATGCATATAAAGTCAAAAAGGCAAATAAAGCTGTGGAGATATCTCCAGAGTTTCATTTATAAGTTACAAACGTATTCAGTGTTTTTGAAAAGTATAGTCTTCGTGGTTAAGACAAGAATACAGAGCGTCAGTTGTTATTGCTACCTACGTACCGTTCTTCATGTAGAAGGAAAAAAAAAAAGACATAATTTTAATCAAATTACTAGTGGAAAAAAGTGTAATTTTCACTGATGAATGAAACAGGTGATGTAGGGGATCCATGTAAGCACAGAGCAGATGCCGAGGTTTTATTCATAATTGAGCAAATCCGTTGTCATGTATTTTGGATATGAATGTTGCATGCAGGAATGAGGAAAGGCCAGGGCAGATGGAAGCAACTGAAGGATGAATCCAATTGCCACTTAAATCATTAGAAAATATCCATGTTCAGTAAAGGTCCCATCTTTTATGGGAGAGGAAGGAAGAACTAGTGATCGCGTCTAGCATATTTATAACTTAAAACATCCTTTTCTTCCTTCCTTCATTGGAGTCAGAGCCTGAAACTGATACGCAGCGACTACCTTGTATTTAAAGGGAAGTAGCTGTGGATTATTCTCTCTCAAAGGTAGTAGGTGCCATGTTTTGAGGAACAGATTATATAGGTCTGTGCTAAATTGAAAATGGAAGAAGCCTGAGATAAGTGACTAATACGGGGTAAGAGTGAACGGAAAAAATTAATCCAATGTGCTTTTTGCTTTTCAAGTTGTACTAAACAGTCATGGTGCTGTTCTGCAATTAGCAATTCTCAAGTTCTTGAATTCTGGAGTTTTAGTAGACTTACTTGTTGCTCTTCACTTGGTGCCTACAGGTATAATTACTTCTCAGATGGTTTGTACCTGCTTCACTGTGCCAAGTCATGATTCCGTAGCTGTAATGAACTCTGTTTATCTTTGAGAACTGAAGTTACCCCTTTCCAGATTTTTAAGAAGTAAGGACCACGCTAGAGACAAAGGTGTGATGGTGGAAGAACAGAGAAGGAGCCTTTCAAGAAAGAACTGCCAAAAAAATTTATGTTTGCACTTAGGGCATGCCTTGGTATGAAGCAGCTTTCAAAGATCATACGGCGCGTGCAGTCCAGCACGTTCTCCAAATAGAAGTTTTAAATCTAAAGCAGGCTCGCAGATGGTTCTAATGAGCTGGTCTTTGAGATACACTGCGACTTGAACAAAAACAGTTTAACCCCTAAGACACTAACATTTTGAGATGACTTTCAAACTAAAGCACTTGCAGAACAGTTTTTCATGCATATTTTAATTTTATATAAATTTCTAGTCTCCAAAAAAGGGAGCTTTTTCAGGACCTTGCATTTTCCTTTATATACATTACAGTACCACAAAAGCAAGCATCAGGAGCATTTTTGCACATTGACTGGTGCTTCTTTCTCCAGCCCTTTTCAACCTCTACTAACGTTTGGTTTTGAACAAATAGTAATAAAAAAGGTAAAGGTTTCCTATGAAAATTTAATTTTTAAAGTGATATAGTATAGTATCTTACTGAAAATATTACTCATCATTCCCATGGATGGGACTTTCAAACTAAGAACAAAGTCCAAGGTTGAGTTTTTAAGACTAGCGTGACTGATAATTACAAAAGGGGAAGAGAGAGCGCAGTTTCTTAGTGTGTGTAAAAATGGCACCCTTTCAGAATTATTTATTTTAATTTATGCTAAACTTTTCAGTATTAAATACTTTAACTCCCAGAAACATTACTGTAGTGCACAAAATTAAGCAATGCATTTAGTCAATTAACCTTTGTCAGGATACGTAGACATAGATAAGTGTATATACGAATATCTGTACATATTTTCTCTGAATCTGTCTCTAAGTGCCTTGGAGTTTGTGTCTGAATTCCCAAAGAATTATGTATAAACACAAAAGTTGGTGATAAACCAAACAGCAGCGGATTTCATTCTGCCCAGACTTCTACCTCTTACAGTTATTAGCATCTGTATGTAACAGCTGTAAGAACAGACCGCAGCAGACCACAGGCACGGGGGGGGGTTTGGTCACTTCATGTAGGTGTAAATTACAATAAAAAGTTCAAAAAGAGTTAAGTGCTACACTCTAATTTGACCAGACTGTCAGCTTCTACAAGAGAAATGCTAGTACTAAAAGTATCATGAAATGGTTTATAGCTTTGTAGCACAGCAAATATTTATTAAATTGTATTGTTTATATTATTGTCTATTGCCAAAATAGCAAGAATTCATTTATAATCTTTTTATGACATGGTTTGAAATTACAGCGTTCTAACTTACACCATTTCAAAACTATGTTCCTTGTGTCACCTAAGCTTTGAGAGACATCTTATTTCTTCATTTCATCTTAGGTCTGCCTTACGGATGGGAAGAAGCTTATACAGCAGATGGAATCAAATACTTTATCAAGTGAGTAGTTCTGGGGGAAAATGGGTCAGCGTTGAAATAAAAGCACATCAAACTAAGCACATTTTTAAACCTAGAACGAATGGAAAAACGAGTAAAATAACAAAAGCTGCCATATATTTTATATACATCTGTATTACCAACATCACTTGTTCTTTTCTGGTTTTTTGTGACTTCACTGTCCAAAGGGTCCTAGAGGGCTTAGTCACAAATCCAACTGAAATTCAGTGAGAACTGTCTCTCTCAATCCTTCAGATGTCTCTGAAAACCCTAGTCTACAATGTTGAGACCTTCCCCAGTTACATGTTTGACCCTATAATGGACCCAGGAGATAAAGGGGGAAAAAATCTTATCCCCTAAATAGTTTACAAGTATAAATATCTATTTTAAAAAATGCCCTTATATTTTGGGGACGTGGAAGAATTCTTAGCATTCTTTTAGATTTTTAGAAGGTAATGCTCTGGTTTCACCTAAATCTAAAGTTACTGATGGGTTTTTTGACATCGTATCCTGCTCCCCTGTGTGGGAATAAGTTGTTCGGTTGCTGCAAGAGGGTGAAGGAACAGGACTGAAAGCATTTAGTTATATTTACAAAATGACCAAGAGATTTCCAACTGCCATACCATTCATTTAGAAGAAAAGTCATCAGACTCTAGACTTTGCACTTAAGATGCTAAATGGAGGCTTACTAACTTGAGTATCACAGAATATTGACATTTCACGGTATCGCTGGCTGCAGGTTAAGCAACTTTGATCCCATTGATAATGCCACTGAACACAATTTTTTTCAATTGTGTTCTCTGATTCTGGAGGAAAAATGCATGAAGAAGTAGGTCATGTTGTATGTCCCAGAAGCTTCAGGAAGTGAATTGGATAGTATGCTATTGTTTTTTTCCAGAATATAGTGAAAAATAATTCATATAATATTATTCTTTTATTATTCCTCTAAGAGATTGAAACAATTAGTGAAAACCAGGTGCAAAAGCCTTCTCCCATGTTCTGCATATGTTCCGCATATAAACTCTTTCTTGTTCTTGATTTCTACCCTATGAAAATTGTACCTACGGTTTCCGTAGGGTTTGCTTTCTGTATTTTCAAGCGGTTGCCAAAGCTAAAGCCATACTCTTCATGGCTGGCGTGTTAGAAATGCTTACATTAACTAACAGGGAATTTCACTGACAGGTGTTGAGGATAGACATTGCAACAGTCAGCAGTTATTATGCACCCCCACAAAAAAACTACAGGAACGTGTCTGTAACAGGAGTTACCTGTGACTTTTTTGGAAGGTATTGCAAACAAACTAATTTTTCAGAACTCTCCAGAGACTAGAGGAAAGGTGATACTGATAAGATGTTACACAGTGTCTAAAGATAAAGAAAGCCTCTGCAAAAGCTTTAAAAGCAGTAATCGTTTGAAGATGTAATCATCTGGGGGAATAAAAAAAAAACCCAAAGCACTAAGCTTTGGCCCTTGTTATTTGCTTTTTGGCTTTCCTTAACTATAAGATTTCCTTAGTGATCCTTTTTCTGAAAGACTAGAAGAAAAAATGCAGTGCAAATTCATTATTTACAAAAAATGAAAAAAAGATTATATTCTTTTTTAAGCAAATCCCAAGTATGGTTTATGTCCTGCTAATAGCTTGCAGGTAGGTAATTGAAAGCTTCTTTACAAAGACCTACTTGATAAAAGCTATAGGAATTTGTTGTATACTATAGGAAAGATTTTTTTCAATTGCGTTCTCTGATTCTGGAGGAAAAATGCATGAGGAAGTAGGTCATGTTGTATGCCCCAGAAGCTTCAGGAAGTGAATTGGATAGTATGCTGTTGTTTTTTTCCAGAATATAGTGAAAAATAATTCATATAATATTATTATTTTATTATTCCTCTAAGAGATTGAAACAATTAGTGAAAAATACAATTCATCTCCATTCCATATATATCATGGATCATTGTTTAATTAATAGCTAGTTATTCTAGCTGCTGAAATTCGCATATTGTCTAATTCTTATAGGTACCAGGAAGACACTATTTTGCAGGTGGACTTCCACAGTCTCCGAAAAGACAGGAAGGGCAGCAAATAAATCTGTGCAGTGAAATAGAATTACTTTTATCCCAAACTCTTATAAAAGTCGTGTAAATAACATTGACGTTTATGTATTAGCTAGCCAAGAAAAGCAGGGACCTTTTTTGTGTGGTTTTTTTCAGACATACCGCTCTGTTGTCCTTGACTCACCCCGCGGTGCCTCGAGCTAGATGTATTAAAGCAGACATGTTTTTTTCTGCAGAGGTTTCCAAACATACCGTATATGATACTGCATTCCAGCTCTAATCAAAGGGCGGCTTTCATTTTCAGACAGATGTAGGTTACTACATGGGATTTGTACCAAAAAAAATTGTAGAAAAATAACTTAGGAAATGAAAGCAAATTAAAAACAAATTTCATAGCAATGGAAATAAATACAAGAGCAACTATTAAAATAGAGCACTGTTCCCTTGGTCTCCGTCTGTTGATAGAGGGGGCCATTACAGGACAGCTGGAAAGTTAAGGTAGATGCTGGCTTCTGTTCCGGGTCAAACACTTGCAATACTCTAGGTTTATACCTGCGTAACTGGAAACTGAGCTTGAAGATAGTATTATCTAGCAATAATAGCAAACAAAAATTTAGCAGCAGGACAGAAGAAATCTCACATTCTTGAAACATTTTCCCCTCTTTTTTTCCCTGGTTTTGTTACTGTGCTTCTCATACAAGTACTTATCTTGATGACTCAGCAGAAAGCTAGATTTCCTGAATATGCACAAGAAATTTCTTTTAAGTTCTGCACTTGGATGCTGAACTATTGCAGATGTGACAATAAGATGCATATTAGCAACAGGAGAATCTCAGCTAGTCTAGGTGCTGGAAGCCTAATTTGCAGAAAGCATCAGATGTTTTGCATGTTATCCCCACTTGCTGAAACTACAGATTTGATTCGAGTAGTTCACGTGAAAAAGCTTTTTCAGGAATTTTTGCATATCTGATCTTTGTTTGTTTATGACTCATGAGTATTATTCCCTCTTCTTAATGTGCTCCTAGCACTACAGGTGATAGTGCCCCAGGTTTTCCATCGTTGTTACCTTCTGTAATCTGTCCTATAAAGTTCTGCACGTCAGAGGCAAGGAAAATCTATCCTTTTTAATTGCAGAGAAGAGTATGAAATCACCCTTCATGACCACTGTCTAAAAACTTCTATTCTTCCGAATGGAGCCACCACACTGAAGTGGTGTTAAGAGCTCTTAATGCGGTTCATTAGAATGGAATTAACTGAGCATTGCAGTAAGACATCATGGTAATTAATATTCCTTTTAACTATTTCCTTATTTTGCTTTCATCACTGTTTCCAAATGCCTTTACAGAGCATAAGCCAGGCTTTTTGCACGCTTGAAAATTCATATCTCTTACTACACTTCGTAATGTGTATGAAGTCAGTCTGAGAAAGTTAACTATTTAGAGCAAGGAGCAGGGGTTGCATGAGTCCCTTGTTTCTAACATTGAATGGTAGAGATTTCATGAGGAAAATTCTATCCAACGTTGGAAATACCCTTTTCTAGGAGGAACTTAGCTTGAGGTGCATCTTACCAGCTGATCCTTTTCAGTAGGATTTAATCTAATTGTTTAAATGGGGATTAGCAGAATAGTTGATACTTTATAGCCCTGGTACTAGTACTGTAACCTTCTTGTTCTCTGTGGCTGTGAATTTCAATCCTTTCATTCTTTGGTGTTTAGAACAGCCAAGGCCATGAGGGGCTTAAGAGTGTTTCAACACTAGCCCACTTCCATGTATACAAACAGATAGAAAAACATGTTATAATTCCCGAAGCGTAGCCACAATTAAACTGATCATCTCTGTGAATTGTCAGTTTTCTTAGTATGCAGTTAGGCTGTGAGGCTGTATAGAAGCTGTAATGGCTCTGTTTAAATCCACAGCAATTTTACAATATGCTAAGGACAATCAAGTATTATTTTAATTAGTGGTTGCCTTCAGTTCCAATGTGCTTTATTGGGCCATCAAGTAGCTGAGTCCATAAATCTATATGTTATAAATCTAATGCAGTAAACACCCCAGAATGGAATCTTAATAGCACATAAGCTTGAGACAGCTTGCTGTGAAATTTCCATAAATATCTCTGAAGGGGGTGTAGCAATATGAAGTGCATGAGAAATCAGAGTTTAAAAGAAGCAAACCAGCTGGCTTGTGTTACACACTGAAGTGAAACCCACTTATGTGAATAACTGACATGAATAAAACATTTACATGGCTGTGTTCCTAAGGGGTTGAACAGCGCTCTGTACCTACCAGGGAAAGCTGTATCTTGTCCATGAATACTCACCTTAAGACAATTTTTGAAATCACCTCTTTTATTCAGGAAATCATTTCAGTCTCTCCGTAAATTATTTTCAATCAACCAGGTTGCTAAGATCAGTCACAAAGTACTGGCAAGTGAGAGAAAACTACCTTTTAGACTGCTGGTGTGTCATAAACTCGCATGATTCTGTGCTAGGCATTAGGGTCATGTGTATAGGCTTACCGTGAAATAGCAAACTAATGTAAACCTCTCTGAGTTACATCTCAGTATGCATTGGGGAAAAAAAAAAGCAAGTTCAAGTGTCTTACTAATATATAAATTAACAGTTATCAGCAGGCCAAAAATTACACCAGTAGACTAAAAGGTAGGGATCGGCTTCATTGCTAGTATAACTGTGCTTTCCTCCTGTTGGAAGGTAAGGGTTGAATTTGGTCCCAGATATGTTTTAAGATAACCTGTTGTACTTTAAAGTAATGGAGAGGGCAGGCACTATTTTATTTTGCATGTAGCAATACGCTCAGTCATTCATACATAGCACCAGATTCACGCCCCATCAATTAATGTGTAATAGAAGCACAATACTGGTGCCTGTTTCCTCACCAATTTACATTTGGTATTTCTGTCGCCGTTTATATCAGCTGATTTAGTTACGAAGAGT